AGTTTAATATTGATATGAGACTAGATGGAGTAATAAGTTGTAAGAAATTATTGAACCGTAACATTTAAAATAATGTTTGCTCAAGTAATTGCTCCTTTAATTGGAGCTTTATTTATTAGTTTAGCTTTTATTAATTTATCATCAAATATAAGTCCTTCTCTACATTCATTTATGGTATTTATTTGAAAAAAAAATAATTTTTTTTTTTTCTTTTTCAATATTTAAAAAACTAAATTTACTTAGCATGAACTTTTGAAACAAATTCAAGAAAATATTCCTATTAAATATCTAAGAGAAACATCATTAAATCATGTTAAAACAATATTTTCAATTTGTCTTCTTATTTGTGGATTTGTTCTTCATTTTTGTCAAGGTTTGATTTTTAAAAACAAAGAAAAAACAAAAATGAATGTTTTTATTTTTATTTTTGTTTTTATTTTAGGAATAAAACGTTTAATTGTTTTAATACCTTTATCAATATTTTCAATATATATGATAAAATTAACAATAATTTATGGTTTAGCATTATCAAGTGTTCCTATTTATATATTTTTATTTGTTTCTATAATGATTATTCTTTTTAATGATTGTGCTCAATTAGATGAACTTGAAATATAATCAAATTGATATTTTTTCTAAATATTTTAAAATAAATTTTATTCTATTTAATTCATATTGATATTCAATTTGTTTATTATTTAAATTGAACAAATACTTAAATATATTTTCAAGTAAATATCTTCCTATATCATATTCTTCTGTTAATAAAATAAATAACTAAAAATAAATAAATATTTTCTTTTTATTTAAATTAAATATTAAAAAAGAAAGTCAAATACTAATGCTTTATTATATGTTATTGATAATAATAATCTATTGAATCTATAATGATAACAAATTTCTAATGATTGATTATAAAAACTTAGTGAAGAATTTATATGTTCAAGTTTTTTTTCTGATTTTGATGTTTGACCAACAAGAAAATGAATATCACCTTGGATTTTAAGATATAAAATACGAATATCAGTCGATATTGAAGATTTTAATAAATATTTATCAATTAATAAGAAAATATCATGCGAATATAAATTAATTTCATTTAAAATAATATCAATATAAATTTTAATTGATTGTCTTTTATTAAAATCATCAGTTTTAACTAAAAGACGATTTAGACGAATCCATGATTGAAATCGTTTTTCAATTATATTCATTGAAATAAGACAAAAAACTTGTTGTTCTTCCCAATTAAGATATATATCATAATTAGATGTTTTTATAGATAAATTAATTAGTTCAAAACCTTCATCACAACGATTTGTTAAATAAGAAAGTGACGCTTGAGTAAATATTTCATCCATTTATATCATCGACTTTATTTTTATATTTCGAATAAATAAATAAAAATATTTTAATAATCGTGATTAAGTTCTATTATGATGATCATTCTGATTAACCTCTTTTTTTTAATTAACTACTACGCTGTTACTAAGGTGCAAACCATTTTTATTTTTTCGAGCGAATATCTTCTTGCTGTTTTTACATTACTTCATCAAAGCAAAATTAACACAAATTGTCACAAAAGAAAACATATTGATGTAGTTTTTTTTGTAAACGTGTTAAACATTTTTCAGAGAAAATATTATTTATTAACGAATACCATTTTTT